AAGGCTTGGGGTTGTCTTCCTTTAAATCTTGTGCTAGATCGTTAATATACGCCCATCGAGCAAAGTTGCATTTCCGTTTGACTGTGTTGTTTAAACTACGGTACTTTACCCACAAATTCTCATCATTACGTCTTTTTGCTCTTTTGTAGAGTGACTTCTTCTTTTTACATTCTTTTTTTTCGCTCTCTGGTAGTGAAATGTGATAGGAAACCTAATTGTTGTGCTAATTTTTATATTTATTTCTTTTCCTCATGCATAAAATGTCAACTGATTAATGAAGCCCCCTGCCCCCCCAAACAGCCCCATAATGCATTGCATTCCTTCAACTTCAGAAAGGCTAATTGCAGCTTAGGTTGTTGAAACTGGAGATCCTGGAAAAAAGCCCTTGAATCAAGGGAGAGAACCAATAAACTCTACTTCCATGTGATGTTGTGTACAGGAATCAAACAAGAGACACCAGAGGTGAGAGTCGATTGAGCTACCTACAGTATCAATATGTGAATTTTTCTTTCTTACAAGGTAATCATTACTTACTTCTTTGGAGTTAGGGTCTAGTGCATACTGGATATTGCATTCGCCGACCACACCCAAGTGCCTAATAACCTTTATTGCTGTGCTACGAAGCATGTTATATTCATCATTACTCAGGGTTTGACTGGGTGCAACCACTATAGACTCTCCTGTATGGATTCCTAGAGGATCCACATTCTCCATGTTACAAACCTGTAAAAAATAAGAAATGTAATGACTGGACAGAACTTTAAAATACATGGAGGATAAACTAGCTTAAAAACAATATCTACACCAATCTAGGACTAAAAATAAGGGCTGCTAAATGGCTGGACATGATGACTGGCCATATCAGAGTGATCGACATGTGTGACCCGTCAATGCGATAGGTCAACAGGACTGGGCAATTACTGTATGTGTTTGGCCAGACAAATGGCAATTATGCCAGAAATTGTCCATTGAGCTGTTATTTCAGACCTGCAATCACTCCCATTGAGAGGGTTTTCTATGAGCTTCACTCCACAATCACACTCCACACAACACTCAACTCACATGTTGAGGAAAGTCATTAACTGGGAAAACTCAAGGGATATAACTTCATATTGATCCAATATGAATGAATATAGCACTGTGGAGCACAAACTGTGCTTAAACTCTGTTTAGGGATTAAGATTTACATGTATGGCATATCATCCATGGTGATTTCATATGAAAGTGGAATCCCAAAATCTTGAACATTCTGAGGACCAGCTAAAGAGTTTGAAAATAATAGGGGCTCAAGATATCCAGGGTAAACTATATAGTGATGCAACTCCACTGTACACAGCTTCAAGCTGGGAAGTTCTGCACATCTGGAGTTTAAGAACTTACTGTGATACAGTTGTCAAAAGCATCTCTGACGACTTCATACTCAATTTCTTTCCATCCTTTCAAGGATTTGTCAACAATAATCTGTTTAGTGTTAGCAAAAGCCACTGATGCCAAAGCAATCAACTGTTCCTTGTTGTCGGCAAAACCTGATCCTAACCCTCCTAGTGCGAAAGCCGCTCGTACCATGACTGGATAACCTATCCTCTCGGCAGCTGAAATAGCCTGGGAATATACAAGAGTATTTATCGTTTACTTAATCTAGTATTTAGAACTGTAGAGCTATGCCTTTTGAATGGCATAGTCAGAGCATGTTGTTGTGTGAAGTGACAATCAAGGTGCATGCATTTATCATCGTTGTTAAAAGAAAATGTTTTTGCACTTGAATTGATAGCATACCTGTTCAACAGAACATGCTGGCTGACTTGGTGCAACTTTTTCATTAATTCCTTTCAATTTTTCAGCAAACATTTGTCTGTCTTCTGTGCATACGATAGAACTAACAGGGGTACCCAACACCTTGACATTGTATTCCTCTAGAACATTCTTATCCCTCAACTCAATGCCACAGTTAAGAGCAGTTTGACCACCAAATGCAAGGAGAATACCTCCTGGTCGCTCACTTTGGATAACCTATAGATAGGAGGAAAAAAAGAAGGTTTTTATGGGTGTAAATAAATAAAGTACACATGTTGCAGGGCTAGAACTTAATGTTGACTTTTTAGAAATCAGGTCATCAGACTACACCACATACCACTCCCATGGAGACCTATTACATATAAGTATTACTGAATAGAGGGTTTGCACCATCATGTGCCAGCAACCATGATACAACTTGCACTGCCTGTGGTTAGATAGCAGAACAATAAAATCCCTTTGCTCTCTGAAATTGAATTCTTTATCATGTAAAAGGATTGTATTGTTGCTGCCATCTAACATGGCTGCCGTCACATGATGGTGCAAAACCTCTATATACTGAATATATCATGCATACCTGGGTAACATAGTCTAATGTGATGGGAAGGAAATAAACCTTATCGGCCAATCCCTTTGATGTCTGTACAGTAGCAATGTTAGGGTTAACAAGAACTGTCTGGACACCCTCTTCTTTTAATGCCTTGATGGCCTGAAAAGTGAAAAAAAAAAGTATTATTATATTTGAACAGAAGCCCATTTCCTCTTTAATGTTTGTGTAGTTCCAAAAGATTTCCATTCCCCACCAGATCGAGGAGATTTGAAAAAAGGTCTCCCCACTCCTCTGGAATTTCCAATTTTTCTTCCACACAAACATTTTAAATTTTGTTTTTCCTCCCACCCCCACCCCCTGGCAATTTTCGATTTCCTCTATGGATATTTTTGGAACCAAAGATCGTGTTATAACACAGCAATAATATTTGTGTCCTGATTGGCTGGCTGCTATGAAACAAAAAACAATATTGGATGCAGTATGCATGCACAAGTGATTATGCAAGAGTTTCTATTTTTACTTTGATGAATGGAGTTATAAATCTTCTGGTTTAAAGTGCAGAGGCAAGATGTCTATTCCTCATGCAACTTTTCACTTCTTTTATGCTTAGCAACCTCCAGAATTGGACATACACACTAAGAATTGACCACTGATTTAACATTTAGTGTTTATATATATCTACCTGTGATCCTGAATAGTCAAACTCCCCAGCCTGTCCAATTGACAGACCACCAGATCCCAATATTAAAACTTTTTTGGGTCTTTCTTTTAATGAAGAGCAGAACACTGGTGGTTCAAAGTCAAACTGCTTCTTTATCCTCTGTTTTACAGTCATATCGGGGTCTGTTTTGGACTTAAAGCTCTTCACTGCCTCAATAAAAATATCAAACAAACATTCCAGATCTCTTGGTCCTCCCTTGTGTTCAGGATGAAATTGAACACTGAAGAACGGCCGAGTGTTATGGATTATTCCTTCATTTGTTTGGTCGTTAGCGTTAGTGAATAAAGGAGACCAGTTGTCAGGGAGGGAGTCGACGTTGACAGCAAAGCCATGATTTTGAGTGGTGATGAAGCATCTGTTTGTGTCATGGTGAATACAGGGAATGTTGTGACCACGATTGCCATATCTATATAAAAAAAGTATGCTTTTAATATCGTAATTTTAAATTATCATTAACATTTTACAGTTCTGTTCAGTGAGCACGAATAATAGTTCCCAGTTGAAATTGGAGTTTCCACACATAGCAAGATACTTTTTACTATGCATGGCAACACCGACCTTGGCTTGGAACTATTGTTTGTGCTCCATGTAATTTGCAAATCACATCTAAATGATTTACTATGGTCATCAAGACTTTAAAGCTATAATAATTTCGTGCAACTCACTTCATTTTAAAACTGTTACATCCAATAGCTAAAGATAACAACTGATGTCCAAGGCAAATACCAAAGAGTGGCTTAGCATTTTTATCCGTGACATGCTTCCTTATATTCTCAATAGCTGTGAAAGAAAAGCTTGGATCTCCTGGACCATTGCTGAGGAAAATGCCATCAAATTCTGTAACAAATGACAAAGAACATATTTTTAAAATATGCTTTAACATGGACCAATGAGTTTGTGGTCTGTAGGAATTCTAAATTCATTCAAGGATCCAATTTGAAAAATTTCAAGGAATATTACACAATTGAGAATTCAAAATGGGGGGCAAAAAGCCAAACAGAGAGCACTCATGTGAAAAAGCAAAGAAAGCACAAATGTGATTGTCCAATTATCATATGGAAGTAGTAAACTCAACGAATAAAATCCATTAAAACACTAGTCATAACTTCATACCTCCATTTTTGACCTCTGGATTGAAATCATAGTTCCATGGTACAACCTTGACACATACACCCCTTGAGACAAGGCAGCGGATTTGGTTGGTTTTTATTCCACAGTCTAGTGCTATGATCCTTGGCTGGCCAGTTGGGTTGTAGGTTTTGGGTGTCTATGAAAAATCGATGGTAAAATCCTTTAGATTTTATCAATTATTCTGGGCTAGACTACAGGTTACTCACTAATCAAATTTGAATTTATCTCGCTAGGTCTTATATGTAGAGGAAAACCAGAAAAAAACCCTCAAATCTGAACTGAACCTGAAATGCAAGAGGTGAGAAATAAGTGCACTAAGGAATCCTCACTACCACCTTTTCATTTTTCATTCCTAGGGGAAAGGATAAAGCAAGTGAGCTGCTACTCATTTAGTCTTTAATGTGGTCATGTAAAAACAGCTCACAACTTTTGTTTCCATCGTTTTGGTTACTAACAATTTCAGCTGTAATCTTGTTTGAAAAATGTTRACATCTTTACCTTACATGAGACCTCATCTACAAGGTTTCGTACATTTGGATCTTCAAAGGCGACAGAGTCTGCTTCAACCCCATCAAGTACTATCTTTCCTAACATCATTCCTTCTTCTCTTATTTTCTTTGTCAAAGCTCTTGTGTCAATTCCTGCAAAGTAGTTTAACACATTAAAATGAATTATTATCAACCTATCTAACCACCAAAACTAGTACATAATACTTTAACTTGTATCCAAAATTATATTAGGGTGGCATGGGTCATGTGTGCTGCTAATGCGTGGTCTTTCACGGCTGTGAGTCCAACGGCTCGGGTCGCTGGTTTGAGCCCTGTGGTCGCCACATGTGAATTGAGTTTGTTTGATGTGTTGTTCTCTCCTATGCTACGAGGGTTTTTCTCCGGGTTCTCCGGTTTACCTCCCTCCGTAAAAACCAACGTGTGAGTTCAGTGTTGTGTGCATAAATAAATGTAATGAGATTGAGTGTGAATGAAAGCAGGCCCACATCAGCAAAACTTGCCAAAATAATTAGCCTGCTCTTATAAATGAAATAAATATATATATATATTTGAATTGTACATTGTAATTTGTACATATTCTTCTCTACCAAATACTTGCTACATCTGTGTGTAATTATAATTTGTTAGCAATTCAAAATAAAAGCTATTATCAATTTTTGTTTAAAAGTGTAAAAAGAAAGTATTCAAAGCAAAACCCTTTTTAATGAGGAAGAGATCAATATCGTGCCACTTGGGCAACCTCAATGTCAAAATAATGATATTAAAGGTAGTCTAAGCAGGAAATTTTTAACATCCAACAACTACATACCAGTGATTCCTGGAATTCCTTTCTCTTTCAGCCAATCAGAGAGAGACTTTTCAGCATTCCAATGACTGTATTCCTCTACATAATCACCCACTATTAACCCAGCTGCCCAGATTTTATCAGATTCAAACTCTTTATCAAGGTCATGTTCATCCTTCTGGACGCCTGGGATACCATAGTTACCAATCAGTGGGTAGGTTAGGACTAACAACTGTGATTGGTACGATGGGTCAGTCAGAGACTCTGGGTAACCAACCATTCCAGTCTGAAACACTAAAAGAAATGGAGTGCTTAAGTTCATACACATTTTGCAGATAGAAAATATATTCTCATACTCATGAATATTTAATGAGGAGAAAACAAAGCAAATCACTACTGTGACGGTGGTTTGGAAATGTGTTCTTAATTTGCATTAAATTTCGTAAACTTTTTCTTTGATTTTCTCCAAGAAATATTCATTAGTTTGAGAAGTAATTTCAAACACTTGAGAGAGTTCTTCCTCCGATTTCCAAACACCTCAAAGTCAGTTAAAAAAACCCGGCTGCGCCTCGTTTTTCAACTCACTTTTCGGTGTTTGGAAATCAGAGGAAGAACTCTCTTGTGTGTTTGAAATATTACTTCATAACATTTGTTTTAAGTTGCCCTTCCGGATCTATATGCTTTGTTATGAATTATTTTTCTGTTATCAATTAATTTTTTTTTTATTTGGTGTCTTTATCATTGAATGATTAAATAACTTGTAAAAATAATTTCCATAAAAGCATGTTTTGATTTTTTAAGATTAAAATCACCCCACCCCTCCCCCCATGAAATGTTAACTTACACAATGCACGCTGGGATAGATACACACACGTGGAAGATCGATCGCCGGAGCGAAGATCCGTGAGTTGTCACGTATTTGGTTTTTTCTGATGAAAAAATTCTCATAAGAGACCCCATACACTGCCTATTCCTTATTATAAAACCATTCATGTCGTAGTTCTTCCATACTGAGGTTTGCTTCATTATTTTAGCGGGAAAATAATGGCTAAGTTAACGCAGAAACCCCAAACTTGCGAAAGCTATGAAATCCTTCTTTTCGTACAGCATACTAGACCAAGAGTTCCTTTTAATTTTCCTCTTTTGACAAATATTATTTTTTAACTTGTTAGACTTTCTTTAACCAGAGTAATAAAGCCTCAATAACGACTAAAATGATAGTCTTAAGTCAAGGATTTTTTTAGGTAAACTGGTCCACACGTGCGTCCTACGAGGTAAAGATTCTAGAAGCCGATTCATTCAACCCAAAAATTCATTTAATTTACTCACCGACTTCACCAGATACACTCTTATGGGCTCCAAAAACCTTTCCTCTATAGACGGTACCATCGTTAAGTATTAGGCTTGCCATGGTTGTTGTCGTGAGTTGAGTTTCTTCGGATTCCTGACCAGAAAAGTACGACCACAGCGACGCCATTAGCCGACTGAACCGAATTTTACCGCGAATCGATCCTTTGAACCATTTGAATGGAGCCCATTCCTCTCCCGTCCACAATAAACTATTGCACCATCTACAGGTACAGTGCTGTATTAAAGTTTTTCTTACAATAACAATAATTTCGATGGATAAACAATGAAAATAATTTATCTTGTTATAGTGTGGGTTTTGGTGTAACTTCGAGCTATAATTTACTATCAAAAGTACGTGGTCACGTGACTCTTAGATTGAATACTTTTTACTTTATTCTGTTCAATTTAATTTAAGTTTGTTTTATTCCATTCATATTATTTCTTTTTATTCCTTTCCATTTTATTCCATTTTCTTTTACTCTATTCTATTCCATTCCATTGCACTCCATTCCATTCCTTCCCTTTATATTCCATTCTATTCTATTCTTTCCCATTCTAATATAATGCGTTCCATTCCACTCCATCCCATTCCAKTCCACTTTTTCTCATTCTATTCTATCCCATTCCACTCCATTCTATTCTTTCCCATTCTAATATAGTTCATTTTATTCAACTCCATTCCATTTTTCTCATTCTATTCTGTTCCATTCCACACTATTTTATCCCATTCCATTATATCATAGTTTTCCGCATCATATTCCATTCCATTCCACCCCCGTATACTCCATTCAATTCTATTCTTTAAAAGGAAAATAGTGAAAGTCGTCTAAATTTTAATAGAGTGCATGTATAGCACAGATCGCTATGCCGGTGTTCTGGGAATTCCAGAGGTGGCCCACGTAGTAAAATTCAAGTTCGTGCGCAACTTTTTCTTCTGTTCCCTCCCCTTTAATATATTCTCCTCTCCTCCCAAATGCAGTGCTGATTCTTGCTGAACGCTAAATAAAGCCACTGGACCAACATTGAGAAAGGTAGGTTGGTTGAATAACTTTTTGCATACAAGTTTACATGTAGGTGACTGAAAAACAGGGGGAGGGATGCAAAAGCCCCACCAGTTTTTGTCCAATATTGCAGCCGTTTTCATTTGTACCACTGACCTTTAACTAAACCGTGTACCACCATAAAAACGGGGCTAAGATTGGGAAGTTGACTAGTATGGGAAAACGTGGGGGAGATTGGAAAATATTAGAGACTAGTATAAGTATAGGAAAAGGTTGAGTGAGGGAGCTATAGCCCCCTAGACCCCCCCGCCCCCCTCCCCGTCTCCGCGGTCACTGTTTAATGACGTCCGCTACGACAACTAGGTAAACTCTAAATAATCAAAAACGAAAGGTTTACTATATATCACTCAGAAAATAATTACAAAGGTATACTTTTGATTGTGATATTGCCATATCTGTGAGATGAATCGTGAACAAATTGTTCATATTGTTATATTTTTCCGTCATTAATTCGACTTTTGCGAGAAGCATATATGAAATACTAATGTCTCCACCACATTGAAACCAGTTAAATAATAATCTAAAAAAACAATTTTATGTCTTTTTTGAATAGCTTCAATTAACAACGATATGTCTAATGCCTTACCATTAGGGATTCATTTTCGAGACAGCTCAAACAATTGCTGGCTTAGGTCGTCGGTATACGTAAATAATTATCTGATTGTTTGGATATTATTTAGTATTTATCCATCAAACTACTGACAGCCCTTCTCATTAAAATTCTATAGTCGTGTGTCTTTGTCAACCAAAGAATGCCAACTATAAAAACAAACTTACGACTTGCCATATAAGTTCTAATCTCCCTTAAAAACAAGAACAACAAATGATGAGTTGGTGAACGAATACTTTAAGATTATTTCGCGCCGATATAAAATGGCCAGCAGTACACGAACAGTTTTGGATAGTCATTATTGCTCAGGAGCAGAACAATTCAGGGAGCATAAGTCTGTCAAAAGAGTGTCTTTTCTTGAAGATGACAAGATTGTTATAATTCCGAACAACGAAGAATACGAAAGCGCCAAAGCTTTTACGACTATTCCTCGATGTATTCCTGGACCAAGTCGGATATCTTCACTGTCCCCGCACACTACAACTGGACTTGCAAGGGCTGGTCTGAACGGTGCTCTAAAATCACAAACACAAAAGCGATTCCTGAAAGCTGGAGATACTGGCTCTCTCAGATCAAAAGAAAAACAAGTAAAATCAATACTTAAAAAAAGTTCCACGCAGAGTTGTCTTCGAAAAAGTCGATTTTATGATTCCTTTAGAGAGGAATATGATATTCCTAGCATAAAGTATAACGGTGGAGTTGATCAAAAAGACAAATCCTACGAGAAAACAAAACTAAACTCCAGTTTTTACTTCAAAAACAACGAAGGTTCTGAAGGATCGCATAGTTACAGCGATTTCTTGAAAAGACAGAGAAGTGGAACCACAGGAAGTCCACAGACAAGTACAGGACCCTATTTCTCTAAAACTAACTTTTCTCCCACAAGGACATTAGTCCAGAGGCATGGCAACTTGAGTGTCGTGAGTTCCACGTCACCTGATGAACCGTACAGAAAATCCGAAATAAGTAAATCGTCTTTATCGTTGGTTCGTACTTGTAAGAGTGATGCCCCACTAGGTGTTGTGGGTAACATGCTCAATGTAAGTGATCTGTACCCACTTCTTAGTAACTTGCAAAAGAATTCATTGTCGTCAAGTGACTCCATTTTATCAAGGCATCAAGGGGTTGGGGGTAGGTACATCCCTGCGAGGGAGCTCATCTCGAGGTCTGGGAGTAACGCATCCCGTCATACCAGAAACTCATCCACTCAAAATTCTGGTTCAACCCTTCGCGGATTTTCGAGCAATTCGACACAGAGTAATGTTAGCGCTAGAGCTTCTTCAGGACTGGGTAGAGCAGCAGAATTATCACTATTACATCGACTTCGTAAGTTTGAAAGGAATGATCCACCTTACGTAGCGTGGCAGGCATCAGAGATGAATATACATTCGCCAAATACTACCATTCCTACAAGAGCTAGTGGTTTGACCTCTATTTATGGAGGGAGTTTGGGGAGTCGCATTAGCACAGTGAGAAGTCCAAGTAGCCAGTTTTATTATTGAACATAAATAACGCTTATTGTTAAAATTTAGCAGAATAAAAACGAAAAAATGTATATTGTCGTTCTACATCAGAGGTGCAAATTAATTCTTTTATTTAAAATATATTAACACCTTTAGTGAGTGTTTGTTTGTTTACTTTTTTGTTGATAAGCATAAACGTATACTGTATTACTGAGCTTTCAAATTGCCCTTAACTTCGAGCCTTTTCCTGACCTTTTCGGCTCAGCTGATGGTATACTGACTTGTGACCGTAAGGATGTGCTCTAAGGCCCACGACACGAGAGCTTTAAACTCAGAACACACTTGTGGAAAGAAAGCTGGGTGATTTTCGTGGCACTCATAATCATTGCAATAAACAGACTGATGTTCGTAGTCAGCAAAGTGGTTTATTAGTCAAATGACCAGTTGATGACTCTCGTGGGAGTCATTATCGTTTTAAAAGGCTGACAAATAAATCCTAAGGGAGGGGACCCTGAGTATGATAAGGTCGATAAACAAAACTAGCAACAACTTGAATTCCAACAGCTCTAGAATTAAGTTAGGGCATGGCTAACACACAGGTAACGTTTAAATTTCAGTTAGTCTGTTGGGTTTTGTGAAGGGAGGAAAACTGAATAGAAAATGCTGAATCTATTACCTGTTCACACCATACCTTTAGACGTGTTGAAAATTTGTTTAATCAAACTAGAGACCGTTCACGCCGACCGCACGCAAGGCTAACTAAACAAAATGAAGGCCAAACAAGGAAGGACGTGGGCAATGATAGACGCAATAACAACTAAACAAGGTTAGTTGGTGTGAACGGGGTATTGGAATCAAACCCGAGTCACCAGATCGACTGAGAGTCGAGTGCACTACTCATACTGCAACACAACCCTAAATGGTTCCCTAACTGACTTGATTGTCGGTTTTATATACTAGTACTGTGGCCCATAAAGGACATGTAGCACTGTTAGAAGAGTTGCTGCAAATAAGAATACTGCATGTCTACCCAAAGGTACTCAACGGTACCCCACTTCCCATTCCCCGCGCACAAATAAATATCAAACCCCTTACTTGTTTCATGCAACTTCGAGAAAAAGAGAGCTGTAATATTTCTAGATAAAGACTTAAAAACCGCCAGACAATTTTTCTAAAGCMGGTACCACGAAGAGAGTCGACGTTCGTATTCTATACCGAGGGAAATTTATTTAGCAGTTCTCCAAAGGTTTTCTTCTGTTCTCTTTATTGTTTTCTTTTCTTCGAAGTAGGATTTGTTTTTGGCAATCATTCTGATTTATTTAAGAAGGATAATGCGTCTTTTTAAGATAATGTTTTTGGCTGTACCAGAAAAACGTCATAAGTTATAAAAATATTTAAAAAACAAACGCCGAGTAAAAGTTCTCGCAGCGGGCTGCAATGGTTGGTATTACGAACACGTCATCATTCTCCTGAACGTCCTGACAGCTTTGTTAGGTCATGTAGCGTAGGGTAATACGAATATCAAGATAAAATAGAAAAAGAACAGGAGATTCTGGTGTAAAACCCTGCAAAACCTGCTCCTGCTGATGCATTTCCAAAGAGAATGTATCGTTAACGCATTTATCACTATGGAAACAACACCTGTACTAATGCGAGTGGGAGTTCTGCATTCACAAAGCGATGTAAAAGGGAAAAAAACACGCAGTTGTGCACTTAATCATGTAGATAATGATTTGACTCCCAATTTCCTGGATAATATCCTCGACGACAACAAAAGAAATTGTACTTTAAGGCATGATTGGCACGTCCTAAGGCTCAGTGTCACATCGATTTGTTTCTCGATCAGCGCGGGTCGTTGCTCTCGACTTTTCGCATCATGACAGATTTCGCTCCCCATGTAAATATGGCTTTAAGGCAGATAATCGAATCGGAGCGCTTCAACCCCGACGAATTSCGCCACCGAAAATTAACCTTATCACAAAGTTTCTGTCTTCTGTGGCAGAACCCGAAGACAGGTGAAGTGCCGGGGCGAATGGTCGATGAAGTGTTGCATATTACAGCCGTTGCTGCTGTTCTTCTCGACTTGATGGTGCTGGAGAAAATCGCATTGCAGTCGGAGAAAGAGTCTTTCATTACTAGGACTTTTTCTCAAACGTCAAGAGAAATCATCGTGAAAGTGAGTCTAGTGGTTAAGGATGCTTTTTTAGTTTAACTCAGTATTCATAGTAGAACGCAAGTCAACGCAATGTTTTTCTTGCCACGAGTACGCGCACACGCTAGACTTTTTGAATCAGCCATTTTCACGTCAATTTAAGAATTCGTAATTATATATTTTTAACATTTCGCTAATAGCGTTAGTGAAAAATAAATCCATAAAAAGAAAAATTATTTGATTTGAGGGATTTTAGTTTTTTTGAATTATTTTGCTTTTCAGACATGGAAATCTGATTTAAAAAGTCTAACATTTTATTTAATTTTACTTCAGTTTAGTTCTCCAACCTTGTGTTGCGCGAAGAAATAGGTGTTTTTGTTCGAAAGTCAGTTTTTGCATGAAATGGTTTGGAGGAAGGAAGAAAATCTTCGCAGGGCAGAATAGAACGAATAAGAAAACTCTGAATTCATTAACACTTTATCAGAAATAATATTTGCTAACGGAAGTGGAATAGTCGAGACTGTTTTTAAGCCGATCACTCTTAAGAGTCATCACAATTAAAATTAATCCAATCAAAAAACACTCTTGCTTCATAGCACAGAATGCACCATCTCGCATTCAACGCGTACCGCTGTTTTTGAAGACCACAGACTCATCTCCACAGGCTTAGCCTCGTTTTTAAGTCAGGTATTTCATGGATACCATTAAGTCAGTGGGATTTCAAAACATTGGTATTGTTCAAGCTGCACATTCTTTGCATTACAATTTACTTTTTTAAATGATTTGTTTTTTAAAAGCTAAGCCTGTGCAGGTGAGTCTTTGATCATAAAACAAAGTGAAAATGAAATAAAGGACTATTGCACATAGGCGCGCGCGCGATAGGAAATGAATAAGCCTAGCTCAACCTCGAATCTAGTCTCCCACGCAGCCGCTATTAGTCACGCCACGCTGCGTGACGACACTAATAGCGAGTGCGTAGAAGACTCCCTCGAATCGCGATCGATTTAAAAAAAATTATTGAAATTAAAACCGAATTGTTCACTGGCATGACGGCGCGTTTTAGGTCATCGATCGGAATCGCACAGGTACTTACCTGGATGAGTGTCTCTTCAATCGAATTCTTATGTGTGACAAAGAAGACTCGGTGAACGAATGGATGGTCAAGACGATGGGTCTTCCCAGCCAAGTCTTATGTACTCTCCTTAACAGCTTGATCAAAATAGGAATATTGGAAAAAGAGCAAAGGAAATTCGACCCACGATATCATACTCTTAACCCAGGTATTTTGAAATAACTTGTTATAATATGGTATGTGGTGACTGGAGCGTGATAGGCGGACCCAAAATATTCTGCATAAGTAATGTACCACTTGTCCCCCTTTCTTCCCTAACAATTTTGGTCTATGAGTTTTCTAGCAAGAGAAAATGAATTGATTTTCTCTTGTTCTCTCGCCTGTGAAGCGGTTGGATGGTATATGCATGCGATACAACATTGCTACAGGGGGAGAGGGGGGAGGGGGGATGGTCCTCCAGAATATAGATTATAGATGTGGGTTGGGTGATCGACTAGTGACCTATTCTATCCTTGGGAGTTTTAAAAATAAGAAATAGAGTTGTATGTAAACTCTCAAGAGGAAGCTATATACTTGAGCTCTCTAGGTAACAGCCAACCCCTTGAAATAATTGTAAAACCGCCGTTGTCTTTCTTGCATGACTTCTCAAAACTGAATGAATCAGCAAGTCGTTTCTCGAGCATGCTCCAACTCGGTTTTATTTAATACTGAAATAAATGCCAATAAATGGTAAATAAGTAAATTTAACTGTTGTCGCTAAATCAACAGAATAAATAGCTAAAACTTCGCAATAATCATGTTTGAAAAACAAAATCATTTACTAATATGTAAGAGGTTTTCAACAAATCTTAAAACGTTTTATCTTTTTCAATCATTCTTTTTCCGAAACTCACTAAGTCTCGCATGGTTTTCCTTGAATGCATATTTATAAATTGATAAACTGCATTATATTGACTACTGATCAATGTCAAAAAAATCTAAAGTAGGAATATTTTTCCCGTTATGAGAATGAAGCATCAAGGAAATGGCGGATTTTTGCTGACCAGACCACAGTTAATGGACCTGACTGAATCGATTCATGCAATGCATTTTAAGAGACAGGCGTAAAATGCGAAAGGTTTTTGCTGTTTTTCTTCTTAAAAACCACAATAGGCGCCTACAGCTGCTATGGTATTATCTGGAAAAAGTCCCTGCTTTTGTTATACAAATACTCACATACGCCTCGACTGCTTCCGCTTCAAAGCACTTGTCATTTTCTGAATTGCTACGCGACCCACACAACTATAGCTATAACTCGAGACTTCTCAGCGCAGTCTTCAGCCCTATCGCTAGAAGTGGATCGATGATTCGAACGAACTCCCCCTCTCCACCTTTATAGGAGTACGGAATATTTTTTAGCGCTATTTTAGTTTTTCAGGAAATGGCATAACTAAGATTGGTAAAAAAACGAATCTTCCCTTTCAAGGAATCTTTCCCTTTCCTAGCGACGGGCCTGTACATCCATTTATGAGTTTCTTAACAGTCAGGTTTTTTGATCGAAGAAAGCCAAAAACTATAGGTAGTGTTCAGTGGTTCACTGCGAACGAAGTATTAAATTATCAGTCAAAAAAGATGCTTGATCAGATAGCTTTCGTGCACCGATGGTAAAAATATGCTAGATCCAAAACAATGCACCATCAACATGACAAAAAATCGGGTCAAATGAATTAGTTTTCAACAATAAGCTTGTTATATGAAAAAAGCAAAGCATACGAATAGCAAATTAGTGATTAATTAGCGATCATTTTTCATGCCACGGTTTATATTCTTTTTTCAATACTCCGCCTTAATTATATAAAAGCTTCCCTGAGCAATCTGCGATGGAAAATGGCCATGCAATATTTATATTTTTAACAAGAAATTTCCAATTTTCAGTTCACACAAGAAAATTGATTCCTATTATTACGGGTAATCCACAACCGGCAGAACGAAGCCTGGGAATGGATGAACAAACAATGAATGGTGAGATAAAGCAAAGAACGCAGCTCACATGTAGAACAATACACATTGTTCACCATAATCCATGCTTTCTTTGTTTTTGTTATTTTATCCAATCCCAAGCTTCGTTCTACCAGTGGACACCGACCCATTATTAAGCTGTGTAAAACAGTTGCTGGTTTGCAATCATTCCCAAGAGAGAGAAATAACAAAAGACACAGCGGCCATGTTGGATGACATAACGGAAGAGACTAATGACAGATCTTTTGTTAAATTCATCCAACATGGCGGCTGTGAAAACCATCAATTAATGTATATTAAAGTAAAAACATTAATTGTAAATTGTTGAAAGGCGCATCTTCTTAATTTTGTTAACCCTCTAAAAACCCTATAGTCATAGATTCACCCGTGGGCTCGCTGACATTTAGACCTCTTGCAGCACTTTGGAATGCAGATCAATATGGGGGACAAAACAATAAGTTGGATAGCGCTCCACTGGATAAGGATTTATTCGTTGGATAGCGCTATCCACCCTTCGTACAACTGGGCCCAGGATTGAATTTCTTTTGTTTTGTCCCCCAGATCGAGCTGCTTTGACGTCACATGCAAGGGGTCTATAGCCGAAATAGCCACTGATATGTACCGATCGGATGCGCGCGATTTAGACCCCCCCTAATTAAAAAAAATCCAAGCATAAAATAATTGGGCAAGAGTTTACAGTAATTTGTGATTCAATTGCGTCTGAAAAATATTTAAGTCAACAAACTTGAATGTGCCCAGGAAGTATAGTGTTTAATACATTTTCTAGGTGTCCTTACTCTTAATATTGTCATATATCTTTACAGAACCGCAAAAAGAACTTTACAAAGAAGTCCAAATGATTGCATTGCAAGGCCTAGTACCGGACAGTTATATGTGGTCACTGTTAAAGCTAGCAAGAACTTGTGATGCTTTCAAAGCGAGTACAGCACCGATTCTCAATCACCAGTTTGATTACAAAGACAACTCGACAGCCTTAGCTAACATTGATAAGCTGGTTATGATGGAGGAGTCACGGAGTACGCCGAAGGAAAAGAAATACAAAAGACAAACGGGGAGCTTCGACGACTTGTTTAAACTTGGTAGTTAGTGAGTGAGAGCCTGATTGATGAACGAGTGAACATGTGTGGATGGGTGGGGATGGTGAGAATCATGTTATGTCTTTACAAGAGAATATGAACTGGTTCAATTTCTCTTGGTCTTTACCTTCATGCTCCCTTGATCCGAAGGTTTTTCTCCTGCTTTTTGTCTTTTTTTCCCTTGTCCACGAAACCTAACACGCTACAATTCCAATAGAGGTTTTGCACCATCACGTGCCGGCGCCCATAATACATCTTGGGTTGCTTGAGGTTAGATTGCAGAACAATATAATCCATTTGCCTTTTGGGAATTCAATTCTTTCTCATGTAAAACGATTGTATTGTTCCTGCCATCTAACATGGCTGCCGTCACGTGATGGTGCAAAACCTTGTACCTTTGCATCGAAGCGAGATGAACGGCGAGCTTGCAATGATAGAGACATGTGAATAATTGTCCAAGGTGTTAAAAAGATCCCTATCATTACAAGCTCACCATTCGTCTCGCTTCGATGCAAAGGCACTGCTACTTTTCAAGATGGCGTAGGGAACTGTGAAAGGGACTATTCAATCTGTGAGTTAGCTATGCCTGACTTAGATCAGCCCAGAGGTTGTTCCAGGGTTCAATCTATGAGTTAGCTATAACCCGACTTAGATCCGCCCAGAGGTTGTTCTAGCGTTCAATCTGTGAGTTAGCCGTGCCCTGACTTAGATTCATCCAAAAATGTTTAAATTGCTATGTGTTGAAAGGTGTTTCATCGAAAAAGTTAATTGACAATGTATATACTTAATGATACTTTCACTCTGACGAAAGGACCCATGTCCGAAACGTTAGCATATGTACAACCTTTTTTACATAGTTCTTTCTTATTAAATTGTTATTCCACATACCACATTAAAATATTATTTAAACGTGTTTTTAAGTGTCACTGTTTTTAGTTAATACCACCATTAGGCATTTCAAAGATAAACGGAGTCGAGTTGGCATTGCAGTAAATTACGTCTATATTGTCCCCTAAATGTGTCCCTAAATATGTCCCCTAAAAGGTCCAACAATGCATTGCAATCCCAACTTCACCCAGTTTTTTTCTAAACCTCGGAACAGCAAATAATCAGTCTTAAATACGTTGGCTAGGATATTGGTGGCGTGCCACATACTGTGTTTTGGGACCTATTTCATATATATACAGCATAAAATCTTGGGCAAAAATATAGTTTTTACAGTTTTCACAGAATTATCTCTGCTACAGTTCAGTCTCAAAACAAAACGCCTTTTCATATTAGAGTGATTCAGGGCATTTTATAAGAGAAATGAAAAAACTAGTCTTGCTTGTTGTTTTTTTTTTTGTGTGTGCAAATATAAAGAACTTATGGGGATTGGATTAACACTCGAGAGGTGTTAAGAGGTACTCCACAAGGCATCTCTCATGTGCTGCCAATTTCCACAGCACACAGCACATGTTTTCTATTTTATCAATAACAGTGTAGGCTAACTGGAACCATTTTTGAGTGTTTTGTTCTAACTATGCTCCTCTTTCTATGAATAAGAGCAGTCCTGGCAGAGCCAGCTCTCAAAATAACCACAAGAGCTCAGTGAATTTTTCCGAGGCATTTTATGCATTATCCAAAAGTTTCGATTTTTCAGGTTCAGAAGCTTTTCTTCTGTTCTTCTTTTTTTATCACAACATTAACTTCTTGAGGAGAGCAAGAAGGACCAACAGCTGCAACCTCCTCAACTCCTCCCTTTTTACTCTGGTCATTCACCACCTGCAATTCTTGTGCAACTTGAAGCTGTCTTGCATCAATCCTTGATTCACTTTCTATAAACGTCAAACTTGTGAAGCACGACTTGGCCCTGGGAAACTCTTCATTGGAGAAATGCTGGCTTAACAGATCTCTTTTACCAAATAGACTTGTGTCAGCATCACTCAATAACTTAATCAATGTCCACATGTAACCATCGGCTACTTGTCCTTGCAGAGCTATGCTTCTTAGCTCTTTTACCAGCTTTGCTTCAGGTTCTGTTTATAATGAAATATGGTTACTATGGTGATCAAGTAAGGGGGCCTAATAATGAGCCAACATCATTATTTTACATAGTAAATAATATACATTTCAAGCTTAGTAAGCAACATGCAACAAGCTATATGCAACACGCATCAAGCTACATGCAACAAGCAACAAGCAACACGAACATGCAATGCACAAAATGCAACAAGCTATATGCAACATGCAACAAGCTATATGCAACATGTAACACGCAACAAGCTATAGGCAACAAGCAACATGCAACAAGCTATATGCAACAAGCAAAATGCAATAAGCTATATGCAACACATGCAACACACAACAAGCTATAGGCAACAAGCAACATGCAACAAGCTATATGCAATAAGCAACATGCAACAAGCTATAGCAACATGCAACAAGCTACATGCAATATGCAACATGCAACATGCAACAAGCAACAAGCAATATGCAACGCAACATGCAACACGCAACACGCAACAAAACCTTTACCAACCTTTTTTGAAATACCTGTATACTCTTTTAGTATGAAAATTAAAGAAAAAAAGAGTCTGATCTACCTGGATTGATTGTTGGGTACTTTTTCCAGAAAAGCACTGAAGTCTTTCCAAATATTTTAGCCTCTACAAGGCTGTCAAGCACTTGAGTAGCACAGGTTGGATTCAGATAAGACCCTTGGAGAATCCATTCTTCTAGTGTTTTGGGTTTATCAGGGGTGTTGCTATAATTATATAGAATACCAGAAAAGAGGGCTTTGTCTAGGAATGTGCCAGTAGGTGATGGATCTATAACCTAGATAGATAAAATAAAATAAAATAAAATAAAATAAAATAAAAAGTGAAATAAAATAAAATGAAATGAAATAAAG